GCAGGACGTTGGGGGGTTAGGAAAATATGAAAGGGCCACGCGGTCTCTGGATGAATGGGAGAGCTTGAGAGAGGAAGTCCTAGCTGAGCCTAGCTATGAGATGCAAGGAACTGTTGTTTGTTTTGTGCACTGCTGGGACCTGTAGTCCTATAATGCCTGTGTGGTTTTGAAGCTCCAGCCAAGACACACAGCCCTCTGAAGAGCTGTTGGTCCCCTGCACATCGCCCAGAATAGCTGTTGGGGAGTCTGAGCTGAGGCCAGACCCCACAGCCCAGACCCCGCTGAGTACTCTGCTGATCCCTGTGTGCTAGAGGGTACTCCTGCCTGCTGTTCGCTGTGTGCCAGAGGGTACTCCTGCCTGCTGTCCGCTGTGTGCCCGAGGATACTCCTGCCTGCTGTGTGCCAGAGGGTACTCCTGCCTGCTGTCTGCTGTGTGCCAGAGGGTACTCCTGCCTGCTGTCTGCTGTGTGCCAGAGGGTACTCCTGCCTGCTGTCCGCTGTGTGCCAGAGGGTACTCCTGCCTTCTATCTGCTGTGTGCCAGAGGGTACTCCTGCCTGCTGTCCGCTGTGTGCCAGAGGATACTCCTGCCTGCTATCTGCTGGGTGCCCGAGGATACTCCTGCCTGCTGTCCGCTGTGTGCCAGAGGGTACTCCTGCCTTCTATCTGCTGTGTGCCAGAGGGTACTCCTGCCTGCTATCTGCTGTGTGCCAGAGGGTACTCCTGCCTGCTATCTGCTGTGTGCCAGAGGGTACTCCTGCCTGCTGTTTGTTGGGTGCCAGAGGGTACTCCTGCCTTCTATCTGCTGTGTGCCAGAGGGTACTCCTGCCTGCTATCTGCTGTGTGCCAGAGGGTACTCCTGCCTGCTATCTGCTGTGTGCCAGAGGGTACTCCTGCCTGCTGTTTGTTGGGTGCCAGAGGGTACTCCTGCCTTCTATCTGCTGTGTGCCAGAGGGTACTCCTGCCTGCTATCCGCTGTGTGCCAGAGGGTACTCCTGCCTGCTATCTGCTGTGTGCCAGAGGGTACTCCTGCCTGCTGTCTGCTGTGTGCCAGAGGGTACTCCTGCCTGCTGTTCGCTGTGTGCCAGAGGGGTACTCCTGCCTGCTATCTGCTGTGTGCCAGAGGGTACTCCTGCCTGCTGTTTGTTGGGTGCCAGAGGATACTCCTGCCTGCTATCTGCTGTGTGCCAGAGGGTACTCCTGCCTGCTGTGTGCTGTGTGCCAGAGGGTACTCCTGCCTGCTGTGTGCTGTGTGCCAGAGGGTACTCCTGCCTGCTGTCTGCTGTGTGCCAGAGGATACTCCTGCCTGCTGTGTGCTGTGTGCCAGAGGGTACTCCTGCCTGCTGTTTGCTGTGTGCCAGAGGATACTCCTGCCTGCTATCTGCTGTGTGCCAGAGGGTACTCCTGCCTGCTGTGTGCCAGAGGGTACTCCTGCCTATGCTTCTGTTACACTACTACACTTTCCATCTTCTGATTGTTTAGTATAATTTGTCTGCTAACTGTATCTATAACTGTATCTATAACTGTATCTATAACTGTATCTATAACTGTGGATCTAAATCATTTTTCCTGCAGCAATAATAAGAGATGCTGGATATACAGTCAGGTCCATAAATATTGGGACATGGACACAACTCTAACATTTTTGGCTCTATACACCACAATGGATTTGCAATGAAAGGAACAAGATGTGCTTTAACTGCAGACGGTCAGCTTTAATTTGAGGGTATTTACATCCAAATCAGGTGAACGGTGTAGGAATTATAACAGTTTGCATATGTGCCTCCCACTTGTTAAGGGACCAAAAGTAATGGGACAGAATAATAATCATAAATCAAACTTTCACTTTTTAATACTTGGTTGCAAATCCTTTGCAGTCAATGACAGCCTGAAGTGTGGAACGCATAGACATCCCAGACGCTGGGTGTCATCCCTGGTGATGCTCTGCCAGGCCTTTACTGCAACTGTCTTCAGTTCCTGCTTGTTCTTGGGGCATTTTCCCTTCAGTTTTGTCTTCAGCAAGTGAAATGCTCCATCGGATTCAGGTCAGGTGATTGGCCATTGCAGAACATTCCACTTCTTTGGTGTCTTTTGCAGTCTGCTTTGGGTCATTGTCCATCTGCACTGTGAAGCGTCCAATGAGTTGTGAAGCATTTGGCTGAATATGAGCCGATAATATTCCCGAAACACTTCACAATTCATCCGGCTGCTTCTGTCAGCAGTCACATCATCAATAAATACAAGAGAAGCAGTTCCATTGGCAGCCATACATGCCCACGCCATGACACTACCACCACCATGATCACTGATGAGGTGGTATGCTGAGGACCATGAGCAGTTCCTTCTCCATCCTCTTCTCTTCCCATCACTCTGGTACAAGTTGATGTCGGTCTCATCTGTCCATAGGATGTTGTTCCAGAACTGTGAAGGCTTTTTTACATGTCGTTTGGCAAACTCTAATCTGGCCTTCCTGTGTTTGAGGCTCACCAATGGTTTCCATCTTGTGGTGAACCCTCTGTATTCACTCTGGTGAAGTCTTCTCTTGATTGGTGACTTTGACACACATACACCTACCTCCTGGAGAGTGTTCTTGATCTGGCCAACTGTTGTGAAGGGTGTTTTCTTCACCAGGGAAAGAATTCTTCGCTCATCCACCACAGTTGTTTTCCGTGGTCTTCCGGGTCTTTTGGTGTTGCTGAGCTCACCGGTGCGTTCCTTCTTTTTAAGAATGTTCCAAACAGTTGTTTTGGCCACGCCTAATGTTTTTGCTATCTCTCTGATGGGTTTGTTTTGTTTTTTTTTTTCAGCCTAATGATGGCTTCACTGATAGTGACAGCTCTTTGGATCTCATCTTGAGACTTGACAGCAACAGATTCCAAATGCAAATAGCACACTTGAAATGAACTCTGGACCTTTTATCTGCTCATTGTAATTGGGATAATGAGGGAATAACACACACCTGGCCATGGAACAGCTGAGAAGCCAATTGTCCCATTACTTTTGGTCCCTTAATAAGTGGGAGGCACATATGCAAATTGTTGTCATTCCTACACCGTTCACCTGATTTGGATGTAAATACCCTCAAATTAAAGCTGACAGTCTGCAGTTAAAGCACATCTTGTTCGTTTCATTTCAAATCCATTGTGGTGTATAGAGCCAAAAATGTTAGAATTGTGTCCATGTCCCAATATTTATGGACCTGACTGTAGATACCTAAATTTTCTAAAATTTTAAAAATTTTTTATCACAGCAGAAGTCTCATTGTCCAAATTAAATATCATTTTGTATACTTTGGAAAATCTATTTTTAACCCCCCTGATGGTATTCCCGAGTGTAGCTCGGGGTAAGATTTCAGTACCACAAGCGGTAACCCCCCCCCCCGAGCTACACTCGGGCTTACCATGCGGCGCTGCTCTGCGATCCCTCGGTCACTTACCTTGTCCTGCGCTCTCCCAAGAAGAAGGCCCGCACCACCGCGATGTCCCTCCTGCAGTGTCCCCAACAATGTAATCCGGCGGATGCCGGCATCTGTCATCTGGGTTCCGTCCCCTGCGAGCGTCGGGACGTACGGGGGATGGAACGGCGGGAAATTTGAAAATGACTAAAAGTGACATTCACTAAAATCACATAGTAAAACATTCCTGTATCCAACCATTTCACATACATTGTGTCCCGACTGCTTTGTCCGGCGCCCTGCCTGCATTTTTACTGTTCTTTCTGCCTGGAAACTGAGAAACGTCCACGGCGTCCAAAAAGCGTCCCTTTAGGTCAGACGCGGTTTTAGAGCGGCTAGAGGACAGCGATAGTAAATCAGAACCACTTGCAGAATTGAGTGATAATGATTGGTGGGGGAAATTCCTCATCAGACACTGAAAACGATTCTGCGACTGAGCTCAGCGATGTGAGAACTTGGCGCCATATTTCACATTTCAGTGTTTTTGGTTTGATTATATTATTGAATTACATTTATTATTATAAATTATATTATTATTTTTTATGATTATTTATTAAATTATAATTTATGATTTCGTGTTTCAAGTTTTATCCTCCCCGGGATGGTTTACTAGACTCTTGTCTGGACAGATTTCAGGGAGTTATTCCTAAAAATTACAGCCTACAATAAAAAAAACGACATATTTCCATGCAAAAAAATGTACCGCTTTGAGCACAGAAATCCTGACATAATCAGACCGCTAGGGGGTTAAAATCAAAAGGATCATCATTGATCGTAGCTCTTAAGGAGTCTAATATTTCCAGGGAAGGAGTTTCCTCTCCATAGCAATAACTGACGCAATCAGTCTGACGCATTGCTATGAATTTCCACATCATCCTCGTTAATATATGGGGTCTTGGTTAATCGATGTGCCACAAAGCTGGGGGGGTCATAATCTGAAGAGAAAATGTATTCGCTCCTCATTCAGGCAAAAGTTATTGCACAAAATTTCAAAAACCTCTGTAATATGAAAAGCATCCGCTTCCATGTCATAGGCTGGCATATCCTTCCAAATCTTCATGAGCTGATCAAGGATCTTACGATGAAGTTCTGCAGATTTATCCATTCATTTTCCCTTAAGAATTGCTTCACGATCCTGCAGATCATCTTCTATAAACTGGATGTCTGATATCAAAGATGTTTGTCTGCCGTGCCTCTGGCCAGTATTTACACTAATTCTTTTTATATCATTCTGTAGTTCAGAAAGCTGAATGACTTTTGTTTGAATTGCACTTTGCAGGTCAACTATTTGCTCAAAGTCTGGCAATTAGCACATACACTGATCTTGTCTGACTTCTTCATTACACAAGCAGCAATCCTAGGAACCTCCAAAATCATGGCGTTAAAAACATTAACTCACTTCATTACATTTCTAACTTGTTTGCTCAATTTCTTAAAGGAAAACCTAGATTTTTCTATCTTTAACCACTTACCAGTCCGGACACTTTCCCCCCCTTTCCAGTCCGGAACACTTTTCCCCCCCCTTTCCCCCCCTTCCAGTCCGGACACTTTCCCCCCCTTCCAGTCCGGACACTTTCCCCCACTTCCAGTCCGGACACTTTCCCCCCTTTTCCAGTCCGGACACTTTCCCCCCTTCCAGTCCAGACACTTTCCCCCCCTTCCAGTCCGGACACTTTCCCCCCTTCCAGTCCGGACACTTTCCCCCCCTTCCAGTCCGGACACTTTCCCCCCCTTCCAGTCCGGACACTTTCCCCCCCTTCCAGTCCGGACACTTTCCCCCCTTCCAGTCCGGACCACTTTCTTCCCCCCTTCCAGTCCGGACACTTTCACCCCCTTCCAGTCCGGACAATTTCCCCCCTTCCAGTCCGGACACTTCCCCCCCCTTCCAGTCCGGACACTTCCCCCCCCCCCTTCCAGTCCCGGACACTTTCCCCCCCTTCCAGTCCGGACGCTTTCCCCCCCCTTCCAGTCCGGACGCTTTCCCCCCCTTCCAGTCCGGACGCTTTCCCCCCCTTCCAGTCCGGACACTTTCCCCCCCCTTCCAGTCCGGACGCTTTCCCCCCCCCTTCCAGTCCGGACGCTTTCCCCCCCTTCCAGTCCGGACGCTTTCCCCCCACTTCCAGTCCGGACACTTTCCCCCCCTTCCAGTCCGGACACTTTCCCCCCCTTCCAGTCCGACACTTTCCCCCCCTTCCAATCCGGACACTTTCCCCCCCTTCCAGTCCGGACACTTTCCCCCCCTTCCAGTCCGACACTTTCCCCCCTTCCAGTCCGGACACTTTCACCCCCTTCCAGTCCGGACGCTTTTCCCCCCTTCCAGTCCGGACCACTTTCCCCCCTTCCAGTCCGGACACTTTTCCCCCCTTTCCAGTCCCCGACACTTTTCACCCCCTTCCAGTCCGGACACTTTCCCCCCCTTCCAGTCCGGACACTTTCCCCCCCCCTTCCAGTCCGGACACTTTCCCCCCCTTCCAGTCCGGACCACTTTCCCCCCTTCCAGTCCGGACACTTTCCCCCCCTTCCAGTCCGGACACTTTCCCCCCCTTCCAGTCCGGACATTTTCCCCCCCCTTCCAGTCCAGACACTTTCCCCCCTTCCAGTCCGGACACTTTCCCCCCCTTCCAGTCCGGACACTTTTTCCCCCCCTTCCACTCCGGACACTTTCACCCCCCTTTCCACTCCGGACACTTTCCCCCCCTTCCACTCCGGACACTTTCACCCCCTTCCAGTCCGGACACTTCCCCCCCTTCCAGTCCGGACACTTTTCACCCCCCTTCCAGTCCAGACACTTTCCCCCCCTTCCAGTCCAGACACTTTTCCTTCCCCCCTTCCAGTCCGGACACTTTCCCCCCCCTCCAGTCCGGACACTTTCCCCCCCTTCCACTCCGGACACTTTCCCCCCCTTCCACTCCGGACACTTTCCCCCCCTTCCAGTCCGGACACCTTTCCCCCCCTTCCAGTCCGACACTTTCCCCCCCCCTTCCAGTCCGGACACTTTCCCCCCCTTCCACTCCGGACACTTTTCCCCCCCCCCTTCCAGTCCGGACACTTTCCTCCCCCCTTCCAGTCCGGACGCTTTCCCCCCCCTTCCAGTCCGGACGCTTTCCCCCCCTTCCAGTCCGGACACTTTCCCCCCTTCCAGTCCGGACACTTTCCCCCCTTCCAGTCCGGACACTTTCCCCCCCTTCCACTCCGGACACTTTCACCCCCTTCCAGTCCGGACACTTTCCCCCCCTTCCAGTCCAGACATTTTCACGCCCCCCCTTCCAGTCCAGACACTTTCCCCCCCTTCCAGTCCAGACACTTTCCCCCCTTCCAGTCCGGACACTTTCCCCCCCCCTCCAGTCCGGACACTTTCCCCCCTTCCACTCCGGACACTTTTTCCCCCCTTCCACTCCGGACACTTTCCCCCCCTTCCAGTCCGGACACTTTCCCCCCCTTCCAGTCCGGACACTTTCCCCCCCCTTCCAGTCCGGACACTTTCCCCCCCCTTCCACTCCGGACACTTTCCCCCCCTTCCAGTCCGGACGCTTTCCCCCCCCTTCCAAGTACGGACGCTTTCCTTCCCCCCCTTCCAGTCCGGAACGCTTTCCCCCCCTTCCAGTCCGGACACTTTCCCCCCCTTCCAGTCCGGACACTTCCCCCCCCTTCCAGCCGGACACTTCCCCCCCTTCCAGTCCGGACACTTCCCCCCCCCTTCCAGTCCGGACACTTTCCCCCCTTCCATGTCCGGACACTTTCCCCACCCTTCCAGTCCGGACACTTTTCCCCCCCTTCCAGTCCGGACACTTTCACCCCCTTCCAGTCCGGACACTTTCACCCCTTCCAGTCCGGACTTTTTTCCTCCTTTCCCCCCCTTCCAGTCCGGACACTTTCCCCCCCCTTCCAGTCCGGGACACTTCCCCCCCTTCCAGTCCGGACACTTTCCCCCCCCTTCCAGTACCCGGGACACTTTTCCCCCCCTTCCAGTCCGGACACTTTCCCCCCCTTCCAGTCCGGACACTTTCCCCCCTTTCCAGTCCGGACACTTTCCGGACATTTCCCCCCCTTCCAGTCCGGACAGGCTTTCCCCCCCTTCCAGACCGGACACTTTCACCCCCTTCCTGTCCGGACACTTTCCCCCCCTTCCGAGTCTGGACCTTTCCCCCCTTCATGTCGGTCCGGACTACTTTCACCCCCCTTCCAGTCCGGACACTTTCCCCCCTTCCAGTCCGGACATTTTCACCCCCCTTCCAGTCCGGACACTTTCCCCCCCCTTCCAGTCCGGACACCCCCCTTCCCCCCCCCTTCCAGTCCGGACTCCTTTTCCCCCCCCTTCCAGTCCGGACACTTTCCCCCCCTTCCAGACCGGACACTTTCCCCCCCTTCCAGACCGGACACTTTCCCCCCCCTTCCTGTCCGGACGCTTTCCCCCCCCCTTCCAGTCCGGACACTTTCCCCCCCTTCCAGACCCCCCGGACACTTTCCCCCCTTCCAGACCGGGACACTTTCCCTTCCCCCCTTCCTGTCCGGACACTTTCCCCCCCTTCCTGTCCAGGGCAATTTTCAGCTTTCAGCGCTATCACACTTTGAATGACAATTGCGCGGTCATGCAACACTGTACCCAAATTAATTTTTTACCATTTTTTTGAGACAGATAAAGCTTTATAATTTTGGTGATATTTATTCACCGCTGGGAAAAACTTTGCAAATAAATAATATTTCATCATAAATCTTGGCCAAAATTTATTCCGTTATCTTTTAAGTAAAAAAAAAAAATCCAAATTAGTTTATAAGCAAAAATTATAATTTTTAAACATTTTTTTTTACATTTTTATTTTATTTTTTTATATTATTATTATATTTTTTTTTTTTTTTTTTACATACTGTCACCCTAGCAGTAGTGTCACCATGGTGACACTGTACTACTTGTGGGGGGCGATGAAGGTTTTTTTTTTTTTTTTTTTTACACTGATTGCTTTTACACCCATAAAGGATATAAAAGCAATCATTTCTCTTTCTCTCTGTGTGCATTCTTGCAGCCATTGAGAAGTACTGAGTGAGCTGTGATTGGTCACAGCTTGTCACATGGTACAAGCCTGTTGTGAATAGCCTTCTACCATGTGACCTCTGTGATCATTCACAGATTTCACACGTAGTAAGCAATGATGTCAGAAGTGACATCTTGCTTACTACTTTGCATGTGATCACTGATTGGCCAATCAGTGATCACATGATCGGGACCTCGTACAGAGGTCCCGTCCGACGATGAGTGTTTCACTGTGTCCGGAGGGAGCGCGCACAAGCAGGGTGCGGGGAGGCCGTTTATAGACGGCCACCCGACCCTGCAGTGCCACCGTCCGGCCATTTATATACAACGGCCGGACGGGAAGTGGTTAATATTAGCCTGTAAGCACTCATTATACATGGACCGCCAAAGTTCATCATCTTTAACAAATTTAGACAGATTTTGGAATTCTAATTTACTCTCTCTAGATAATTCATCGATAAAATCCATTACTTACCGATTAAGAAGGTCTTTCTTCATGTAATGTTCCTTTTCTCTCTTGGCGGGAAATTACATCACAGCGTTTTCTAGCATTTGCACGAAATTCTCACCAATTCCGATTCTAGGCGGTTTCAATTATGCCGAAGGGTCATCTGCTGAAGGCTTTTATTTCTCCTGAAAGCTCGACTTCATATTTTGCTGACCTTGCAGCCATCTTCCCTCTCATCAAGGTGAAGGAGAAAAAAAGTCAAAAATGATCGATATTCGGAAAAAATCTAACTGGCTTGACTCGCCACTGTAAAATACCGGATTGTCTCGATATTTTGTTAACTTGTTGTCAGGGCCCCGGGTATGATCAGAGGTGTGTGGACTGACACAGGGAAACGCAGGCTTCAGGTATGACCAGAGGTGTGTGGACTGACACAGGGAAACGCAGGCTTCAGGTATGACCAGCGGGTGTGTGGACTGACACAGGGAAACGCAGGCTTCAGGTATGACCAGCGGTGTGTGGACTGACACAGGGAAACGCAGGCTTCAGGTATGACCAGAGGTGTGTGGACTGACACAGGGAAACGCAGGCTTCAGGTATGACCAGAGGTGTGTGGACTGACACAGGGAAACGCAGGCTTCAGGTTATGACCAGCGGTGTGTGGACTGACACAGGGAAACGCAGGCTTCAGGTATGACCAGAGGTGTGTGGACTGACACAGGGAAACGCAGGCTTCAGGTATGACCAGAGGTGTGTGGACTGACACAGGGAAACGCAGGCTTCAGATATAGTATAAACAATATAATTTAAGACTAAACAATACATAAATGCAGTGCAAGACTAACCATAAACACGGTGCAAACAAACCCAAACCAAAACCCCCAACAGATAACAAAAGAACAATACTAAGCGTAGTCGGGCAGGCCGGGTCGGTAGCAAACGGGCAGGCAAGGTACAAAGGAGCAGGCAGAGCGTAGTCAGACGGGCCGGGTCAGGAACAATCAGGCAGACAAGGTACCAAAGGAGCAGACTGGAGAGTGGTCAGGAATAGCAGAGGTCAGGACAGGCGGAGTTCAATCAGAGTCAGGGATCAAGCAGGATCAGACAGGAAGCAGACAGGATGCAGGTACAGGGGCTCATGGGAAAACATACACCAAGGCCCTGCTTGCAAGTCTGGCCATTCCTATATACACCTCCTGCAATCAGCCTCAGGTGTTTTGGCTGACTGCAGGAGTGAGCCTCTGGTTGCTGAGAGCACCCGCTGGTCAGTTCTGGTACTGCAAACCACAAGGCAGGTGAGTCCCAACACTATTGGCGAGTCCATTCCTGACACTTGTATTGATGATTCAATTCACTAGATACCCCAGGACAGTCCATGCGCCATCTTTCTGAAGCCCACATCACGCTTATACCGAAAGAAAACAAGGACCAGACATTGCCAGCTAACCATCGTCCAATCTCCCTCCTGAACGTTGATCTAAAGATTTTCACCAAAACACTAGCCGATTGTTTACTACACATCATAGACACCATTATTTCCACTGACCAGGTAGGGTTTGTACTCAGTAGAGAGGCAAGAGAGAATACGATCAGGGCGATAAAAATGTACATCGTTGGTTGGCACAGAAGAAACAATCTGGCTTCTTCCTATCTCTAGATGCTGAGAAGGCCTTCGACAGATTGGCGCGGGACTACATGGAGGCCGTTCTGACTGGCCTTGGGCTTCCTCCACGTCTCTTGAACTTTATCATGTCTTTATATACAACACCAACGGCTGAAGTTAGAGTCAATGGCCCCCTTTCAGATGCCTTCTCGATAAGCAATGGGACCAGACAGGGGTGTCCATTATCCCCCCCTCCTATTCATTCTTACTTTGGAAACCTTTTTGAATTGCATTAAATAGAATGACAACATCAAAGGAATTTTAATCAATGGCAAAATCCACAAAATATAGCTGCCTTTGCTGACGGCATCTTACTTTTCCTGACAGACCCACATATTACGCTACCTAACTTACTACACACGATTTCAAATTGTTCCAGTATTTGGCCAATTTTAAAATTAACTTCAATAAATCCCAAGCCCTCAATGTTTCCCTAACCCAAGATACGGTCAGACAGGCGAAAATGAACTTTCCTTTCGCATGGCAGTCCTAGGCCATTACTGCAGGGTCCGCCGCGGCTCCGTCCCCGGCGCATGCGCAATAGCGGCGGCTCACGCCGGGACACAGGCACCAGATCCCGGCAGGCTGCAGCTGACAGGAGGCCGCGCATGCGCAGTAGGAGCCGCGGGCGCGCCTCGGGCGGCCAATGACAGCCCCCGGGGGCGCGTCCTGGGCGGCCAATGACAGTGCAGGGCGTGATATTTAAAGATGCCCTGCACTGTCACAAATCGCCGCAAGGTCTGACCTGTTACCTGAGTGCCCTGTGATTGTGTCCCGGATTGTTTGACGTTCTGCCTGCTCCTGCTTTGACCCGGATTGTCCCTGACTATGCTGCCTTCTCCTGTGATTGACCCGGATTGTCCTGACTATGCTGCCTTCTCCTGTGATTGACCCGGATTGTCCTGACTACGCTGCCTTCTCCTGTGATTGACCCGGATTGTCCCTGACTACGCTGCCTTCTCCTGTGATTGACCCGATTGATTGTCCCTGACTATGCTGCCTGCCTTCTCCTGTGATTGACCCGGATTGTCCCTGACTACGCTGCCTTCTCCTTGATTTGATGCTGCCTTCTCCTGTGATTGGATTGTCCTGACTATGCTGCCTTCTCCTGTGATTGACCCCGGATTGTCCTGACTACGCTGCCTTCTCCTGTGATTGACCGGATTGTCCTGACTACGCTGCCTTCTCCTGTGATTGACCCGGATTGTCCTGACTACGCTGCCTTCTCCTGTGATTGTTGACCCGGATTGTCCTGACTACGCTGCCTTCTCCTGTGTGTTGACTACGCTGCCTTCTCCGGATTGTCCTGACTACGCTGCCTTCTCCTGTGTTTGACCCGGATTGTCCTGACTACGCTGCCTTCTCCTGTGATTGACCCGGATTGTCCTGACTACGCTGCCTTCTCCTGTCCTGTGTTTGACCCGGATTGTCCTGACTACGCTGCCTTCTCCTGTGATTGACCCGGATTGTCCTGACTACGCTGCCTGCCTTCTCCTGTGATTGACCCGGATTGTCCTGACTACGCTGCCTTCTCCTGTGATTGACCCGGATTGTCCTGACTACTGCTGCCTTCTCCTGTGATTGACCCGGATTGTCCTGACTATGCTGCCCTTCTCCTGTGATTGACCCGGATTGTCCTGACTACGCTTCCTTCTCCTGTGATTGACCCGG